TGTCCCACTATCATGTTCAGCCTTCATTTGGGTTTCAGTAATTCCTCTTGGTTATATTGCCCTTGACCAAGCCCTATCAGGCCTCGTATACCGTCCTCACCATTGATATTAGATCACTTGTTGTTCCATTGTCCCTGGGTTTGTTAACACCCACTTCCTTTCCCCAACTCCCCCTCTCCTGTGCCCCTCACTCCCCAGAACCGTTGGTCCCAGTGTTTTCTCCTCTGGATTGTTTATCCCTCCTATCTTATCTAGGTAGACTTGCAGAGACAATGATAAGCACAAAGACAAGACAAAACAAGATAAAACAACAACTAAAACTAGTGACCCAAAAAAGGAAAAGCCTATAAATAGTTCCAGGTCTGTTTGTTGACCTAACAGTTTTATTGGCATATAATTCACATGTCATACAATGTAATAGTTCAATCATATTAAGCCAAGTTGTGTACTCATCACCACGATCAATTTCAGAACATTTTTCATACTCAGTGTTTTTAGCTTGCCATTTCCCCCCACTCTCCTTGCCATGCTGTTAGAAATCATTGTTATTATTGAGACATTTTATGTTTAGCATTAGCCAGTGGGACTCAGTTTAGATGATTCTGATTCTGTTGGCGACATCTAAAGTGTCATAGTCAAGAACCGGTCCACGATGTGCCTCCTCAAGGTGTTGACCTCGGCCATGTAGTGCCATAGAGCTTCTTCGCCGCCTGTTTGATCTGGTGCTTGTTGGCCTTGACATCCACAACGAACACAGCATGTTGTCACCTTCGATCGTCATGGTGGACTCCGCGGTCGGGGGGCTTGATGATGGCACCGTGCTCAGGCTTGTTTCTCTGGGGGGGCGCTCTTCTGGAGGCATTTGGGCTGCCTTCTCAGTCTCAGTGCCTTGGGCAGCTGAAAGGGGGGTGAGCTTCCCTTTTCCACTTGTGGATACTTTTCCGCACAGCCTTCTTGACCTTTAATGCCTTTCCTTTGACCTCAGTTTTGGGAGGGGCAGGGGCTTCCTTTTATGCCCTTGATGCCATCTTTGTTTTTTTTAAAACAGTGCCCCTACATAATTATTAATCCAGTTATTATCTCTATAGATTTGCCTCTCCTGGATTTCATCTACAGAAAATCATACAAAACAAAAACAAGAAAGAAAGAAACAAACAAAAACCAACAACCGTTACAAAATAACACACAGAAAAACCTCCATCGAAAAGATTGAAAACATTAAAAAACAAAACAATTTTTAAAAGGCTCAAAAAGGAGATCAAATGATTTTAACTACATCTAACATAATCGGCTTTACAATGTTCTCTGTCTGAGAGCAAGGCCATTCACATCTCTGGACTGTGGTCAGAAGGGAGAGTCACTGGAGGCTTCGTCCATGTGGGGACCCTGCAAATGGATTGTGGGCTCCTTCTGTCATTCGTAGTCTTCTGCAAATGGGGTATTCAAAATTTTAAGCTCTGACATGGTTCCCTCCTCTGGATTTGGATTTTATTATTTATAATCCTTAGATAAGACAGGCTGGTGTGCTGGTTCCATGTAGACTTAGTTAACGTCTCACTCAGATGGTTACCTCTTTTAAGACAAGCCTTGACAAGCCCTCTAGGCCCAGATACAACCAATACCTTGGACACACCCACCTTAGGTACCAGCAAATGACATCACACAGGTGGGCCTAGCAACCAATGAGATCAATCAATACCAAAAGAAAGATGGGTCTTTAAGACCCCAGATACTATTCTTTCTGATAGCTTCTTCACCACGCTTTGCTATCGCACCATCTTTAGCGATTTCTTCATGAGGGTGAGTATCAAGTACTGCCACATCATAAGAACTAACTGTTCTCAGATTAGGGCTATGATTAAGTACAAGCCTGAAGTACATTCATAAATCTATGGTTTATATATGTCCCTGGTTGACTTCAGAACTATCATTATCATTTAATAATACAGAACAGTACAAATTATCCCCATGGGACATAAAGTAATTCTCCTGATCGTCTCATTAATTTAGCCAGTGGTATAGCATTTAAGACATGGTTGAGAAAAGAAAATTATCAATGCATAGATCAGATTTTCAGACCACAGTATATGAATTGTTGACTTCTACGGATTACAAGCTAAAGTAACTGCGACTGCTTACAGAAATGTTGAAGGTTGGGGGAAGGGCGAACTTTCCACTAACGCTCATTCACAAAGGCTGACTCCTGCCTGCTAGACTAATACATGTCATAAAAAGCAAAGAAGGCACTTTACAATAGCAAATACATGGTAGTCCCAGGCCACCATTCACTGGCACCCTCAAAGCAGGAGATTTGAACCAAGGTCCAGTGACCACCAGCTCTATAACCTTGGGATAGCGGTCATCTGCTTCTTCTCACACCAGAGCATCTCAGCCTCAGGTCCAAGGGTATATGTCAGTTCCTTAAATCTGCTAGAGGTGAGCTTAAGGTAAAGTCCAGCTTGTTTAGTGAGGGTTCCAAATCGGGTCCTTCTAGTGTGCCCTATGAAGGATGTTGCGTGCCTTGAAAGCACAAAGTCTGAAGTCCCAGTGGTCTGTAGCACTTGGCCTGGGTCACCAAGGGCTGGAGAGACACAGGGTCAAAAGTGTCCGACCAGGAACATGTTACAGAATGTATTCTCCCCTTGGGTTCTATGTAAGTACTGTTCAGCATCCCCCCCCCCCCAAGAGAGGTTGCTTCACCTCGTTACTTCAACAACAGCAGTGAGAGCGCCTTCCGTAAGACATACATGCCCTCCTCTCCTTTTCTTGACGTGAGTTACCAGTATGCTGCACTAATCTCTTGTAGGGCTGTCTGCTGATGTGAAGTGACAGTGTTGTGTGGCAGCAACGGATTGGTCTTCTCTCTCTCCCCTCATCTTGAGAAAATGGCCCAGCTGAGGGGAGGCCTCCCTGTGGAAGTGGCGTTTAAGAAGGACACGTAAAGGAGGTGACAGTGGTTCGTGGGCACTCGGCAGGCTCAGTCCCTCATTGCTTGGGAGCCTGACTAGATGACATGCCCTGGGAGCAGGAGCTCGCCTTCGTCTTGGTGTTCGTCCTTACTGTCGTAGACTCATACAGTATTTGCCCTTTGCGATGGACTAACTTCCAAACGCAATGGTTTCCAGGTTCCCCCATGCCATGAGGTGCGTCACGGGTTCGTCACCTTTTTAGGGATCCATAGCATTCCACTGACGAGGGAAACCCAAGAAGAATGGACGCATTGTATTGCGACGCTGGCAGACAATATTGAAAGCACCAGGGACTGAAGGCAAACAAGTCTGTCTTGGAAGTACAGCCAGAGCGCTTCTGGGAGGCAAGGGTGGCAAGACTTCATCTCACCTACTTTGGACCTGTGGTCGGGAGGGACCAGTCCCTGAAGGACAGCACCGTGCTTGGTGAAGTCAATGGGCAGGGGAAAGAGGAAGGCCCTGGACGAGCTGGATTAAGACAGTGGCTGCACTAATGGGCTCAAACACAGGACTGGGCAGGGTTTCCTTCTGTGGTGCAGAAGGTTGGGAGGGGTCGGCACCGACCGGGGGTTCCTCACAGCAGCCGCAGCCGCAGCCGCAGCCGCAGCCGCAGCCGCAGCAGTATTCTATTGTGTGTGCGTCCGGTTTCTTTATCTCTACGAAGTCTCACTTCAGCAAGCCCGTGCTCTCAGCCCAGATAGCTAGCTTCCCATTGATTCCACTCAATCACTCCATCCTAAAATCAGCCCCACTTTCCCTAGTCCCGTCTTTTGGGAACACGTATTCTGATGGTCACACACCATCCCCAGCCAATGTCCTGCATTGGTATATAATAATATCACCTGAGAGTTATTTCCTGCTGTGAAAGATGTGCGTGTGGACTGCCATTTACATCCTAACCACAACCCTAGATGGCAGTTACTGCTGACTGGCTTTCAGAGGAGAAAATGGGAGTTTAGAGAAGTTAAGTGACCTGAGCAAGGCCACACTTATAGGTGATGCAGCGGGGACTTGAACATGGATCTGTGTGATTCCATAATCTGTGCTCTCATGACAGGACTGTGTCATGTTCTGCCTTCTCTGGTTTCTGAGTCACTGAAGCCTGGTTCCTGAAGGACCACTGGATGAGAAAGCTGAGGCCAGCTACAAGCGATCCCAAGGGTAGGCAAGCCCCCAGGCCACACAGCATGGTGTGTGGGGTTCAATGTCACGACAAGGAGCAATAGCCCAGGAGACAGTGCGCAGAACATGATGAGACCCGAAGGAAGACAGAGAACGTTGACTGTGCGTGGCTGAAGTTGGCAGAGGCCTCGGTCTCCTCCAGCAGGGCCCACAAGCTAGACAATCAGACGGCCATCAAGCCAAGGGAGGCTGCCAGGATGGGACCTCAAGACAGACAGACAATGGGCCACATTGTTCCTGGCATGGGTAGAGCAGACTAGTGGGCTGGTGGCTATTTAGAGATGGAGTCAGGTTGGCGATGGAGGTGAAGAGAAGGGAGAGACCAAGGTGAAAGTGGATTTATGATTATGAAAAGGTGTGTGTGTATATGGGGGTGGGGAGGGAGGTGAGTTTACATATTAAAATGAACCTTCCAGAACTTTTCCCATTAGAAGAGGCTTCCCGGCATAGGGTCTTAGTGTAGCTCAGGAGAGTGTTTTTGTTTCTGGAGAGTCCTCTTTGGTTTACTTTTTCCTCTGGCTAGACCAGCAATAAAAGATAGGCATTGGATGGACCTTGTCAAAGCATTTATTTTTTTTCAGAAGACAAAGCGAGGAGTGCGCATGCTAGTGGGGTGCTGTGGAGTAGAGGAGTGGAACTAGGGACTGGGTATGGCAGCAGCAGGAGAGGAGTGCACGTGCGGAACGGCTACACTAGAAAGAAGGTTGTGAGCCGTAGCTGTCGGAGCAGCTGCAGGGGGCAGTGGGAGCAATTGCGAAGGACAGGGCCCCAACTTGCTCCCACCAGAGGATTCTCCCATTCTTCTTTGAAAAAGCAAAATTCCTTGAGGCAGCTCAGTCGAGGAGCTGCCAGGTTCGGTAGTGGCAGGTGGGCGAGGAGAGGTTGCTCCGGCCAGCAGAGCCAGGATCTGGTGGAATGGCAGCTCAGGCTTCCTCGGCGGTGGCATCAATGCCCGCGTAAGTGAAGTTCTCAAACAGCGACATGTTCACATAGGCCTGGAGATGGGATGGAGCTTTAGTGGGGCCGTCTGGCCCGGAGGTCTTTGACTTCCAGGCGTCAGGCATTTTCACAGACTATTACTTTGTTCTGGAAGTTCGAGATGGTCCCAGGGGCAAGGGAAGGCAGGTATCAGACTGTAGGCGGAGGACTCAAGCGAGAGGTGTTTGGCATCTAGATCATGGCTTTTCCCCCGGATGTGTGTCTATTTGGTTAGCTCTGTGCCAGGTGAGCGGAGGAGCCCTATGTGAGAATGGGCCCATGGCCAATAGATGGGGATAGGCAGGCAGACTGGAACCTAGTTTCGGGGGACAGGGGGGAGGAGGGTGGTATTACACCTGAAGCTGAGCAGGGACCTTGGAAGAGTTTAGAAGGGTGTAGTGGTTCTGTTGGAACTGGGATTGTTGTTGGGGCCCAGTTAGCTCTAGCTGAGGGAGTCTGGGCGGCAGGGTGGTGGGGGCAGGGGGTATGGTAGCTATTGCTGCTTGGTTCCTATGAGAGTGCATTATCCCTGTGAGCGTGGTACATTCCAACAGTCACACACACACACACACACCCGCCCCACCCTGCCCCCCAGTTTCCTCACCTTTCGGGCTTCCAGCATGCGACCCAGCTGCAGCGCAATTTGGGCAAAGGGGGGTCGCTCATATGGCCGGTCCCGCCAGCACTGACGCATCAGCTCGTACCTGCAGACAAGGGCATTACTGAGACCAAGGTCATGGCAGAGATGGGTCTCCAGGCCGAAAGGCTGAGTGACTCACACTTCATCGTCACAGTTCCGAGGCTGTTCCATGCGGTAGCCCTGAGGCAGCTTCTCGTAGAGCTCAGCACAGGTCATGCCGCAGTAGGGCGTGCCCCCTGCAGGAGGGGACAAACTCTCTCAGGCCCGGGCCACAGGGGCTGGGGGCGGGGGTGGGAGCAGGGAAGGGGTAGGGAGCCCTGGGGGAATGAAGGTCAGGGACTCACCCAGGCTCACAATCTCCCAGAGGAGGACACCAAAGGACCAGCTGAAATGAGGAGGACACCGTCAGTTACCTTTTCCAGCCTAGGGCTCAGCCGATCAGTGTCTGTCACTCTCGAAGATGCAGTCACTCTTAGTCCCTGCATGTGCCCCCTCGGCAAGGATATGACCTTGGCTAGCTGTTGTCTCGACTTCATTAAAGCTCCTTCACAGCCCCTCCCAGGTTCAGTGCCATCACAGTTAGCACTCTTATTGGCACTTACTATGGGCTAGAAACCCTTGTGGCATAGTGGTTACACATTGAGCTGCTCACCTCAATGTCAGTGGTTCAAAACCACCAGTCACTCTATGGGAGAAAGATGAGGCTTTCTCTTCCTGTAAAGACTTAGTCTCAGAAACCTTCCAGGACGGTGCTGCTTTGCCCTACAGGGTTGCTGTAGGACAAATACAGGGTCCTAGAGAATCGAGTTGGAATGAATGGACTCGTGGAAGTGAGTGAGTGAGTTTACTATGGGGTTGTCACTGAGCATTTTTATGTTAATCCAGGCATCCTCAAACTATGGCCCGCCCGCCGGCCACATGCAGCCTGCCGAGGACATTTATCAGGCCCACCGAGTGTTTTTGCCCTGTTTTTTTTACTTCAAAATAAGATATGCGCAGTGTGCATAGGACTTTGTTCACAGCTTTTTTTAAAACTATAGTTCGGCCCTCCAGCGGGTCTGGGGGACAGTGAACTGGCCCCTGTTTAAACAGTTTGAGGACCCCTGTGTTAATTCATTTAGCTCCCACACCAACCCCGTGATACAGGTATTACTATTTTCATAGATGGAGTCAGTAAGCTACTGAGAGGCTAACTAGCTCATTCAAGGTCACAGAGACAGAACAGGGATTCAAACTCAGGCAGTCTGGCTCCAACACATTTGCTCTTAACTACCTCTCACAATATAACCGTATTCCTGTAGGTCTGGGTCAGACCTAGCTAGTGGAAGGAATCGAGGGAGTGTTGGAACAGAAGCAGGGAGTGGGGGGTGGTATTCAGAGGGGTCGGAGGGGTGGACAGTGAGCAGAATAGGTCAGGTGTAAGGGATTGGAGGAAAGAACAAAGCATCTCTGGAGGCAGGCTGTAAGGCTGGCAGTTAAGACTCAGTCAAGATGGTCATCTGGGGGCAGAGGGCTCATAGAGGGAGTCTGGGTGGTCCGGAGAGGATGACGTTGCCCCTCAGAGAGGAAGGTGAGAGCATTCCTTACGTGGTCTCTCCATGTATGGGAGACCAGGAACATTACCTACCAGCATTCTGAAACCTGTCCTAGGTATCCCCCAATCTCTTAGACAAGTATTCCCTAACCTACCTCTACCCCAGTCCTATCCCAAAACATCTTCCAGGAGAAAAAAAAACTTACTTCCAGCTAGCCTCTTACATCCCCACTAAGATGCTAGGTACCCCCAAAGTCTGCTCAGGAGCCATAGAGATCTTACCTGTGTTTACCTGGAACATACCCCAGGGTTCCCACGTTACGCCTTAGCCTACCTGACACATTCCTGGAATGCATCTAAGTGATGTCCGTGCTCCCCCTTGGAAGCCTCTCCCCAACTCTTCCCACCCCACTTCCCACTCACACATCACTCTTGGTGGTGTAGACACTGTAGTTCAGAGATTCAATGGCCATCCAGCGCACCGGGAGACGTCCCTAAGAGAGAGTAGGTTTGATGGATCGGGTGGTGAGGAGGAGTCTGTCTGGGGGATCATGAGAGTAGGGGACAGAACCATGCACAGACCCTGCGGGAGGGTTGAACGAGTCTTACCATTGTTTTCTTCACATAAACCTCCTCACCCCGAGACAGGCCGAAATCTGCAATCTTGGAGGCCAGGTTCTCTCCAACCAGCACGTTTCGGGCAGCCAGGTCCCTGTGGATGAACTGCAGGCAAAGCTGAAGTCAGGGGAAGCGGGGATGTGGGAGCCCAGGATGCCGGGACCAGGGAGGGGTCTGGCCTCATGGACAATCTTCATGGATGTCTTTGGTCCCTTTAGCAGCCCCTGACTCTTCTTCTCACTCACTCAGGCCTCACTCTTGGATGAGCTGAATCCTGCCTAAGAAAACCACAGCGGTGGCTGTCATTTCTTCTCTCGTGACCTGGGCCGTGGTCCCTCTTCCCGGGACAGTGGTGGACCTTTCCTGGGTGATCCTATCGCACCTTCTCTTTCCATGCTCCTTAGCCTCCTCTCCTCATCAGAGGCCTCTTTCCATGAACAGCCTCCTGCAGAGGCTCCTGGCCCCCTGCCTGCAAGGACAGACAGTCATTGCTATCTTATAACCCCTTTCCTGTTTCATGCTCTCCTCCTGTTTTTGCCTCTTCTCCCCTTTCAGTCAAGTAGGGGTCCTCAGACGGGCTCAGGCCTCTATCCTCTGCTTTTTGACTCTTCCAGCGGGATCCCATCACGCCTTCACTGGTAGACGCATGTCTGTGGGGCAGCAACTTCCACGGTTGGGTCTCCAGCCCAGACCTCTCTCCTGAATCCTAAGCTAGCATCTACATGTGCTCACTTCCCCCTTCCACCGAGCTGTTCCTCACATGCTTCAAACACATCCTCTGGACTAGTGTTGGGGTGCCCAATAGGCCAGGTAATCATGGGCTTACTAGTGCTTTCTTATTGGTCTGTAGTGAACAATTTCACATTTTCCACCTCATCAAAGATTCTCCTGCTAGGTTTAGCTGGTCTCCGCACCACCCCCCCCAACCCTATAGCACCTTCCTACAGAATCAAAGTCTCTCTTCAAATTCATAGGTCCTGACAGGGGCAGAGAACCCAGTACATAAGGTAAGCACAGGCTTAATTTGCATTAACCTGCTAATTTCTAGTGAACACTTCTATATGGATTTCACGGAGTCGTGAAATCCATGTGACTAATTGTGTGCTACAGATTAGTAAGCCCATGCCTACTTTGTTTTTTGCATAATCCACCCCTGGTCCAGACCCCCTCCTCCTCCTGCGTTCCCCCTATTGCCCTTGTACTCACCCATTCACTCGGGCCAGGGACCTAAGGCCACGTGCTCTCTGTTCCTCAATCCTCACATCCGAGTTGAAATGTGCCCAGTGAATTCCCTCTTGTTCCTGCCACCCACTGCCCACTCCCAACACACTCACTCACACGCACCTGCTTCTCGCTCAAATATTGCATGCCGTTGGCAGCGTCACTGGCGAAACGCAACAGCTGCCGGGAACTGAGAGTGGAGGCTGTCCCATGCTCTCGGGCAAAAGCTGGATCAGTCTCTAGGACCCGGCTCTTCCGTAGAAAATCTAGCAGGTTTCCATAGGGGGCATATTCAATGGCGATATACAAGTAACCTGGAAGATGAGGAGGCACCTGGTGGTGACTTACATGTAGGTAACCTAGGCTGGGAAAGGGTGCTTAAGTAAAATAGACATGGAGTCTGAAGCATGAAGGGGAATCAGTAAAGATGTACGAGTGGCCTGAAGCTCCCAGGAAGCTACTGTTGTAGCCCAGGTAATGGTTGATGATGGGGGGTTGTGGAGAAGGGGGTCAGGGATGAATTGGGGGTGCTCACCGCGGTTCTCACAGGCCCCCAATAGGTTGATGATGTTGGGGTGATGCCCCAATTTGCATAGAACTTCCAGTTCCCCCGCAAAGTCACGATGGTCATTTTCAGAGGCATATTCTGTGTAAAGAATCCATGATCACTTTCTCTAGAAATAACTCTGGGGTGAGGACAGAGGCTGGTGCTAGGGTCTTACATGGCTTTCTGAAGGGAGTCAGGGTGGGGGTGGGCCCTTGCTCTCTGGAACAGCGAGAAGAAGTAGGGCTGAGGCCAGGGGCATGCGCAGAGAACCTTTCAGCATCTTGATGGCTGCGTTCATCTTGAGCCCATCCTTCTTGATCATGGCCCGGATGACCTGGCCGAAGTTCCCTTCCCCAATGAGGTCCTCAAAGGTGATGTCTTCCCACTCCAGCACGGGGTAGCTCAGGGGCTCAGGCTGTGGTTTTGGCCTCCGGGTCAGTGTCAAGGTCCCCGAGCTGAACTGTAGGATGGTCTCCTCACCCTTCACAAGATGGGACAAGTAGGCAGACAGTCCAGGCAAGAGACACGGGGACAGAAAGAGCCAGAGCCAGGCACACAAAGGGAGGTTCCCCAAGTTAGATACATACGGACACCCAAGACAGTGGTCAGCCAGGGACAGGCATACAGAAAGAGGACGCATAATGAGACAGGATCTAGAAGCTGGGGCCCTCGGTGGACTGTTGTGTGGACAGATGTCCAAGGAGGGAGAGGCAGACCCAGCAGCCTGGAGATGAAGTGTATGGGATTCTGGAAGGGAGAACAGGGCTTGTTGCTAGGAACCAGGATGTGAGCCACAAAAGGAAGTCTGTCCTGACCAAGCAGAAAGAAGCTGTAGTGGACCGTGATGGGAAAGAGTGGGCTCCCTGTGGTTGCGCGGGCCCCACCGCTAGACTTTTTGTCTCTAGGTGACTCCAGACTTGATTGAGCACCGACTACATGCTAAGCTCAAGTGGCTGGGAGTCAGTCGAGGAGCTTTCTTCTCTGTCCACTCTCTTGGCATCTATTCAGAATGGTAAGACCACTGGGGAACCAGAATATAGACAGACACGGTGGGGGTCTCTAGTGAAGAGGAACATCCACTTTCCTCAACTGAGCCGGGACCTGGGAGGGGGCCTGGAGCAGGGCTGGTGGCAGGAAAAATACAGCAGGACATACAGGACCAAGGGAGCTGCCAGTATGAGAACTTGTAGAAGGGTCAGGAGAGACCTCATGCTGGGACTCCCTATGTGAACGGAAGCCCAGTTGGATGAGGGAGTGCTGAAGACTGGAGTCACAAGGATCCTCGTGAAACACGGACAGCTGAGGCACACACCAGAATGCACATGCATGTTCCTGTGTTGACACCCTATGTCAGTAGACACATGCTTAGGCTTGTATATGAGTGTGGGGGTACATGCATAAGGACCCCCAAGCATCAAGGACATGTGCATGTACACACGGGATATCCACAGGAGCAACATATGCTCACTCACACATGGCGCACACACTCATAAGCCTACACACATCTCTGTGCAGGCACATGTCCAAACAAACCCACTGTCACTGGGTCGCCTC